GCTGTGGGTGTGGCGGGTGGTGTGGGTGCATACCGCCGTATGCTTCACAACAAGCGCACCCCACATCCACAGCCACCACCCACCCCACCCACACCCACATCACCCACACCCACACTCACACACACCCACACACCCACACCCACACCTACACCCTCCCAGATAGCCCTCAAAAAGTTACTAAGGGTTCCCCTAAATAGCGCTTGAAAAGTTACTAGGGGTGCCCTTAGATAGCCTTCAAAAAGTTACTAAGTCTACCCCTAAAAAGTCCTTGAAAAGTTACTAAGGGTGCCCCTAGGTAACCCTTGAAAAGTAACTACTGGTACTTCCAGGTAGGCCTTGGAAAGTTACAAAGGGAACCCTCGTATAGCCCTTGAAAAGTTGCTCAGGATAGCTCTAGATAGTTATTGAAGAGTTAGCAGTTATTTATTATATTCGTATAAAGCAGTTCCTTGATCTGTTCTATTTTAATAGATCAGATCAGATCAGACCACAGGATCTGTTTAATCAGATCTTGAGATCTGATCTTAACTGTTTGAACAGATCAGATCCGATCAGGGATCGAGTCGAAACATATTGTACAGATCGGAACTGATCTGAACTATTCGGGTCCTATTTGTGATTCTCGTTTGAATCATCTGAGTGATTACATAGTCAGAGCCATCTGATGAGATCTGTAACAGGATGGAAACGCGTCATGATTGCTCGACTCACCCTTTATGGATACCTACTCCCTCGACGATTAGTTCAATTCATTGAACTTTCCTTCGAAATTAAAGTAGGTTATGTAACTTATTTGTGATCTACTTAAGATCATTTGAATAGTTACGAAGTCAAAGCCATTTGATGATTCCGTTAGCACGGATGAAATCGCGATAATGGTTGCTAGACTTACCCTCTTTCTGTCACACGCGTTATCCTCAATAAATTTATGCGATAAATTCAAATCCGCTTCCCATTCACAGGCATTTCTAGTATACGCGAATACCCAATTTTTATTCAAAGAAATACATATCACGCATATCAACGTATAATCAAGGCAAAAGTAATGACAAACGTCCTCTTCTCCAGCCCTTTATTTGCAATGGCACACACGATCACAACGAGCACGACGAACAGCAGAAGCAGCACGAGCAAGTTTAACACCATCATCATCACTAGCACGATCAACATCATCAGCAATAAGTTCAGCACGACTAAGAACATCAGCAATAAGGTCAATAAGATGATCATCCAGAATAGCAGCATCAAAAGCAGCTTGAAGATCATCAGCAGCACGACGACAACGATCAGTAGCATGAGCACGAGGAACATTAGCAGCCATACGATGAACACGACGAGCATCAGCAGCAGCAGTAGCAGCACAAAAAAGAGCACTAATAAGAGTATCAGCATTATCACGACAAGTTGCATCATCACGACGCTTGTAATCATTAGCAGGATCCCAGTCACGACATTTTCCACATCGAGAACAAGCTCGACCGCCACATTCTAGCTGAGTAGGTGCTGACATAGTTCCACAAAAAATTACAATTATCTTGGTCTAGAAATCATATAAAAATCTTATATTAATATATCTTTAGTTCTTTTGCCTTATTTATTCCTTTTAGTCCTTTCAGTTCCTTCAGTTTTTTTAGTCCCTTTAGCGCTTCTAGTTCGCCCTAGTCAACTTTCCTTTAATAAATTCTGGGGAGTTCCTTAAAAAATGCGAGCTCCCTGGTGAATCTCTCGGGTATCCATTTATTCTCTCCGGTGAGTCCCTAACATATAAGAAATCTCCAGGGAATCCATAGGGAATTCCTAAGGGACTTTTATGTGAATCCCTAGTTCTTAGAGAGTACAGTAAAGAAGAAAACTACCCAGGAAGTTTTTGGTCGTATGAAGTGAACCAAACACGCTAACCAAAGAAGTGTGATTCACTTCATATAGAAAAAATAAACCAATCAAAACCAAGTCCATAGTTTAACAAAATTTTTCTTCGTCTATTTTTCTTGTAATTGCAGTAATCGGTCGTAGGAAGTGAATCAAAGCGTTAGCCAATGCCTTAGAAGTTTTTGCAGACTATCTAAGGATTGTACTTGAAGGTTTTTGAGAACTATTTAAGGATGTTACTTGAAGGCTTTTCAGGATTACCTAAGGATGGTACTTGGAGGTTTTTAAAGGCTATCTAAGCATGATACCTGCAACTTTTTAAGGATCGTGTGGATATAATACCTGTAATCTTTTGAAGACTATTTCGGCATGACACTTGTAGTTTAGAGAACCTTCAGATATATTGCTTCTAACTTTCCTAGGACTACTTGCCTGTTATATCTGTAATCTTCTAAGCATGATCTAAGCATAATACTTCCATGTTCTTAATAATATTTTCATTATTAACTGACTTCATCCAACAGACATTTCCCCAGATATTTAATATGGCTTTTAAACAGTTTTGAACTTCGGTTTATAATTAATATTTGTATCCAAGAAAATACAACTAGTTTCAATTTCATTTTTGTAGTTTTTGAGCATACTTGTAGGTTTTTTGTATTGTCTTTGACTCCTGCTACCGTTGTATACGTAAGCAGGAAGATAATTACCGAAAAGCCCGAGTCTGTATATAGCTAAAGGTTTAATCACTACTTACAAACAGGCCTTACGTGTAGTGTGTGATGGTAACAGTGACAAGATAAGTAATTCAATAGCAGATGGATGGGATGATTTATTAATAAAGCAACTGATCTTCACTCAACAAAATTCACAATTACAACTATTACTGCAGAATTAGTGGTACGACTGAACTGAAACTAGGGAAAAAATATATGAAAGAAGAGGAAAGAACGAAAAAAAGGAGAAACCGAATACAATAAACTATATCGCGAGGAATGGAAGGAGTAATTGTCAAAGAATAGAATTAATAAAGTTAGCGGCAACATAGTGTCATCTGTTGACTCTAACACCTGTTTTGATAGAATAAAATATATGTAGAAGAGTTTTTTTTTATCACTGTGAAGAACTAGGAAGGATGAGTTCTTAGTGAATAAAAGTAGTATATCCTTAGTTACCGTAATCAGTGACTTTCATTTCTTCTGTAATCTTTAGAGGATACTTCAGATTTTATACAAAAAAATTTTAAATGGGTCAAAAAAATATATAATAAAACACTTCGCGCCAAATTCGAACTCTTGGGCGTAGCTCTTGTTCTTAGCAACTTTATTACATATGATGAATTATTCTCAATGATCAAATTTCACTTCTATTAGAATAAAAGTGAGATTTGGTCAGTGACAATAGTTCACCATGAGTAATAAAGTGAGTAAGGGAAAGAGTTATGCGGCAAGAGTTCGAATTCTGCACGAAGCCTTTTATTATGTTTCTTTGAGTTATTTAAAATTTTTTTTTACAAAATCTGAACTGTCCTTCGAGAATTATAGGAGAAACGTGGGAAGGGATTACGTAACTACGGCTACACTTGCGTAGCCACAAGTTTTCAAGTATTGGGCAATTCCCCAGCCAAACTAATTTGACACTCGGGCAGGCATGGGCAATTGTAAAATCAACGGAGCTACAATTTTTCAAAATTTCTTGCCTTTTCAAAAGCCGATGTTTATTAAAGAGAAAGGCAACGAATCTCAACCAACAGATGAGCTTGTTCGGTATTTAAATACCACTTCACAAAGGTATTCTTCAACTTTAAAATGTCTTATCATCTTTTATGTGAAAATTACCAAGATAAGCGTATTGTTTTATAGAATAACGCAGGTGAATGTTGGACTTCGAAGCCCAGCAAGTGTAGGAAACTATTTCGCACAGATGCAAAGGGTTATCCGAGTCGGTTTTTCTCCAACTAACTTTTCTGAAAAATGCCATGCAAAGCGAATAGTTTTTTCATGTTCTTGAAATCTAGAGTGTCGTGATCATAGGTTGACTATATTATACTTATGAAGTAAAGTAAGTATCTGTTTAGGGAACATGGAGTCCAAAGCAATGTCATTTTAGAGTAGAAAAAAATGTTTCATTCGATATACCTGGAATTCAGGG